TTCTAAAGACATGTATTATTAAAGCCTTAAAACGAATTTTGTATTACTTTTATTGTTTTCCTAAAAAAAATTCCTAAAGTTACCTATGATTTTTAGGCGCTCAAGGTGGTGTAACCCCTTAAGGGATTTCACCACCCCTGAGGTTTTAAAATGATGGAATCCTGTACACCGATTTAAAAAAACAGAAAAAAATGGATTTCGCAAGTAGCCCATTGCGCCGCCATTTTGTGCATAAAAAAAATTAAAAAATATTTTTTTGGTTTTCTATATATGTACAATAATGTCCTCTAAACAGCTTTTAAATAAAGTTATCTATTTACCCACAAAAAAATTCCAAACTTAGGTATCATTTTAAGACCTCAGGCGTGGTGAAACCCCTTAACAATTATACGATGAAACTTTTTTATGCTCACTAATTAGCTCTCCATTCAAATTTAGATCAACACTCAATAAATAGAAATATTTATTTCTAAACTCTTTAATGAATTTACTAAACACTTTAATAGATTTACTAAAAATAATGACATTATCAAGATCGATATAGTAAGAAAATTTTTAGTGCAAAATTGTTCCATTGATTATTGCAAAGCAAGAGGAGGCATTATAAAAAAAAAAACAACGATATATTATATTCATATGGTAAGATTTCTTACTGTCTGAGACAATAATTAAGAATAGACAGGCCACGCCGCTTATAGAATGACTGCAAATCAGGGTAATCCGTCGGCCTAATGTATTCATTGCCCACCAAGCGACAAAATTCCCAGGAATCTGTATAGCGCCGGACACTGCGAAATTAATGAAAATATCGCCACCGACCTGGCCGATGTACTGTGATATGCCAAACAAACCCATTCCGCAGACGATCCAATTGAAGAAGATAGAGAGCGACTTTACTCGCATGTTCGGCGTGCGGAGCAAGTCGAAAAACGAAGCTCTGTAATCCTGCGTAGATTTTCTAAGATTCTAAAATCAAATAAAAGCGAGTGTTTTAGCAAGTCAAAAAGAGTTCATATATAATATTTTAAATTGTGTGTAACAATGTTTCTTGGAAAATTTTTCTTCATCAACGATTACATTACATTACATATATTATTGGCTCTACAATTTGTTGAAATACATATTTCAACAAAAATAAATTGTAACCCCTACCTGGTGCAAACAGTGTTTCCTGACCACTTCGGGAATGTCTATATTTTCCACTTTATTAACGTCGACCGCCTTCTGCAATATCTCGCATACTTCCTTCTGTTTTCCCATAGCTAGCAACCACCTGGGTGATTCAGGTACTATCCACCAATAACTTAAAAGAACGACAGACGGAAGTGTAATGGCAATCTGTAGATGTTGCCAATGCCGAAACCAGAAGGCCAGTCCTGCCAGCGACATGTGGCCTAAACTGAATGGAATTTGATATAAAACAGTGATGGCGGCACGCCATTTTGTACCCACTATTTCCATACCTAAAAAAAATATTAAAGAAAATGGTTACAAGTTATTGATTTAAAGTAACATTTAAATTAATGTTATGAATAATACTGATTTTTATACAATAGGATACAGCTGGGTAATTTGGATAACAGTAAGCATTAATTTGCAAGAATTTCAGAAAAATAAGAGATTTTAAGATACATTTTATTATATTATTGTCTGATATAATGAAATGTATCTTAAAATCTCTTATTTTTCTGAAATTCTTGCAAATGCTTATAACTATTATTTAAATTACCCCACTATTCAAATTACTCCGCTATTAGAGTCCGAAACCACTTTCTTAGTTTTAGTCGAAACCGAAAACGAATATTTAGTTTTTATTCAATTTCGGCCGAAACCGAAACCGAAACTGTTGGATAAGTCTTACAAAAGTTCCATATAATGTTCAGAAAATTATAGAAAAATGTGTGAAATTTATATATATTTTTTTAAATAAGATTTTATAATATATCTTATTAATATTGTATTAAAATATTCTCATCTTATAACATAACTTCTCAAACGCTCGCCAGTGCGTTGCAAACCAGTTTCGGCTTACCGAAATTTTCTTTCTTAATTTCGGCCGAAACCGAAAACAAAACTGAAACCCTGATTTTTGACCGAGACTGGCCGTAACCGAAATCGAGACCGAAATTTCGGTCGGACTCTACGCTGTATCCTAAGTGTTAAAGTAGCCATGAGATTTTCAGGGACGGAGATTTCCTTATGGAGGGTATGGAGCTTTCCACATCTAGACATCCCGTGGGTGGGAAATTCCACACCCTGAATTCGGGGTATTTAAAAAAAAATTATTTTAAATAATTATTAAATGAGCTAATTCTTGCGTGATATCGAGATAAAATTAAAAGAAAAATATTCATATTTGTAAAGAAAAAATATGAAAAGAAATTAAATATAGAAATATATTTCGACGTTATTACAACAGAAGAGAAAATATTTATGTTATTACCCCC